CTAGATAATGGTGAAATTTTCACATCACTAGCTGACATAATTTTTAAAAATCTGGAAATACTTGACATCTGTTTTGTTTGCATACGGTATGAGACAAATATCACTAATAGCAGTAAGCGATATTTGCGTAATATCACAAATTATCTGGAGATGAGACTGCAAACCATCGGAATGCTAACTCTATTTTAAAGGCCAAGCATTCACTGTTAGACCTTAAGGCCCTAAATTCCATCCCTGGTGTGTTCGTGAGTTCACACTCCTGAGCAGTAGTCTCATACTAGGATGAAATAACTGTCCAGTGTTTATTGTTCATTGTTAACGCTTTTTTAAAATGCATGTTAGTGAGTGAAGTACAACATTTAGCAAATTAGTTAAAACTATTTTAAAGTCTAAAGAAAACGAACAAACAAAAATTCACTCGGATTAGAAAATGAGTAGTGACTTAAACCTAAGAAATCAATTAGGTTGTTAATGTATATGAAAGGTCCGTAAAATATAATATATTGCGCAATTGGAAGTATTTAAATAAATAATTATTGCTCTGTAGTTTTTTTTATTAAATAGAAGTTATGCACTACTGCTACGGTGTGCACAAGATATTTATTTAAGCACATAAATATTGGTACAAAGGGGCACCAGGTATATATGCGCCGCACAAATCTCATTTGATTTGTGTGAGAGCTTTAATACTGCTCAGGTGCCAAGACCGAAGCAGGCGATTTTCTTATAAGGCCACACCCGGGGCCTTTGACCTAAAGATCTGATCCACAAGACAGTGGAGCAACGTTAGGAGATGCAGTCCCATGGTAGCCGGTGACCAACGACTGGTCCATACGCCATTTGTTCCCTCATGATACTGGGGCCCATGTACACCATTGGTTTGGGATCGGGGTTTTCCAACTCCCCTAGATGAACTTTCCGTGTCCACCAACCCGTTTAAAGCACCGGACATTCGCTTTTCGTCCTCTCAATTTCGTAAACAACACCGCCGTCACGAGAAGGCAGTGAGTAGGACTTCTGTGGTAGAGGCTATATACGCGTTTCCATGTGAGAGTATTTCAAGAGGGAGAGCGGACTCTCCCCACTAGGTCGTACTAGGGCGACGGTGTGCACGTCGATCAATATTTTCACAGTGTAAAATTGTGGTCCAGTTGACTGCCCAGCTTTATTACAACATAAATTTAAATCCTACTCAACTTATTATGATCTGTAAAGCCCCAGGTCTCTTCGAATCCGTCTGCTTTGTAGTTGAACACAATGAGAATTATGAAATTGATATATTGCTTTTATGGATATGAGAGTTTTGATTCTTTGTATAACACAATGTGCTCTAAAGAAAAAGTGTGTATAATACCCCAGTATTTTTGTTACATTTTAAAATAACTCAAAATGGCCTAATTTCGAAGTAGTATAGCCTTGCGTATTCTGCTTTTCGTGCTTGAAATCCCAAAGAGTCTACTAAGTAATTGCTTTCATTAAATAATTGTTTGGAGAATAGTTGAGATTAGCTTGTGCTTTAACAACTAGGTCATCATTTTATACACCTTTGACCAACCTGGAAATTCGCACTAACGAACGCGACTTGGCCAAACATTCCATGACTTCATGGACTAATGCCACTTCTTGCTTTGGCCATTCCTAACATTCTCCCGACCTACTTCTACACTAGCAAATATCATGTGTTGAGGCGTGGCAACTTAAATTGTTGAAAGTATGTGCCAGGGTCTACGTTACTTATATCTAAGTGACTGATATAGCTTTGGTTTATTTGTGTCATCGAAACAATTTTTAGTATTTTTTGGTTTCAAAGAGTAAGCATCGAACGACTGCTACCTTCAGTGTCATAGTCGATTCCTGTCAATCGCAAAACATCAACCGTGATATTATCACATCAATTAAACTGGTGCTACTTACATCGCAACTGCTCATCGGTAGGGTTTGATCAACACACTAGGGACTAGACAACGTAACATTGATTACACAATCAATAATGAACTAGTATATGTATGTCTAAAAATTTTATCAATATCAACTCTTTGAAGTTTATATCACGGATCGACCTTTGCAGTTTCCCGGTTTTCAGTGGTTGTCTTACTAAACTCAGTTTGTGATACAAAGTTGGGATACAAGTTGAACAACTTGCATCAATCCCCTTACACTGAAAAACATTCATTTTATTTATTTTTAATTTAGTGATTCTACTGATCCATTTAGTAGACAACCATTAACAATGTCTCAAGTTGAACCACAAGAAAATTTACGTTCAGCTGTTCGTAAATGGATTGATGAACGTCGAGCGCAAAGGTTATCAAAGAATACTCAGGGTAATGAACAAAAGTCTTCTTAACTTATACATAATATATACATTTATATGTTGAACAGCACCTTATTATTTATTATTATTACTTAAATCTATTGTTTAACAAACAAATAAATGAAGTGAAAACACAATTTTTGTATGGAACATACAACTTTATGCGTATAGAGATGCTTATGGTCTGGTCTGTTCATACTCTTATTGATGATATTGTCTAAACTCAATCATTTTTCCCATTCACTTAATTATTTTTTCAGTGATATCTTTGAAATAATAACAATATAAAATAGTAATAACAGTAATCATACTAATTAATATGTGAATTTGTAGGAGAAGAAAAAAAGAGAGAAAATAGATGATGTATTAAAAGGTAAGAAATATCAAAAACAAATAAAATGTGATTGTATTATGTAAGTTTTATTATATGCCATTACACAAGGTTTGATAAGTTGAAAATTTGGTGGAAACATTTGGCAGCTTTTAACTACTACTGGATTGTATCTCTGGCTCTTAAAACTAAATATACGAATTTCCGATTGGTAATTGAATTGGATTTGTATTATTTATACTTTCCATGAAATAGTTCAATATACAAATATAAAATTAAGTTTCTTTGTGATTGAATTTTGATAGGTAACAACACTAAACAACTTCCTGTATATGTTGTATATACTTTTATCGCTAGCTTTCAATGGTATAAGTAAGCAAGTAAGTTCAATCGCATACATTCAACTCCAGATTGAGCAAATTCAAGTTTATGACAAATATTCAAAGCTTACTTAATCAAAATAAAAATGCCTTAGCACTGATTACTGTAAAGGATAAACAACGAAAACTCTTTTTTAACGTTAAGCAATCCGACGATACTTGATTATCTTTGATAGATTTACAATGCAATCACTAATCGACATGAAGTTGTTAAGAGTTTCTAATTGGAAAGAAACTTTTGAACGAAGAATTATTTCCATAGCGTGAAACCATTGTTTTATTTAAATAATTTGTTGTTTATACATATATTTGAATAATAACCACTCCGTTAACAATTTCGATTACTTAATAATAAACTGATGCCAATTCGCTTCATCAGTTAACTGTCCTCCATTTATTATCATTAATTTCATCATACCACTAATAAGTGATGAAACAATTTATTCTATCGTAGTAGTGTGTGGTAAATCCACCCAATATAGATTTTATTTATTTAAACACATAGACATCGGTACAAAGAGGCACCAAATAGATGTGCGCCACACACACACCGCTCGGAAGCCTAAACCGAAACAGGTACTCTTCTTAGGAGGCCACACCCAGAACGTTTGACCTAAATGTCTAATCCACAAGGCAATGGGGCAACGTTAGGAGGTGCAGTCCCATGGTAGCTGGTGACCAACAATAGGTTCATACTTCATTTGTTCCCTCAGTATCCTGAAACACATGTGCACCATTGATTTGGAATCAGGGTTTTCCAACTTTCTTAGATGTATTCTCCACATCCACCAACCCGGTTAAAGCGCCGAACATTCCCTTTTCGTCTTCTCGACTCCATAAACAACACCCCACCTCGAGAAAGCAGTGAGTAGGAATTCCGTGGCAGTATACGCGTGGCTGTGTGAAAGAATTTTGAGGGGAAGAGTGGACTCTCCCCACCCTCAGTCGTACCAGGGCATTTAGGGCACCCAATATAAACAAAAATAATGATTCTATACAAAAACGTTTCTCATCTAGTTGTCGAATCATATTACCTTGTAATACGAATTAGTTATCTATTAATCGATCAGTATTTTATAATGCACAGGATATGTTTCTTATCGCTGAAGGTCATACTTTGTCTATAAAGTTCTGTAGAAAAATCACGCGGTATAAGTTCCAAGTGCAACAGTCGTATGAACTTTACGCATAAACAAATAAAATATCTGTAAAGTAAAGAATAAAGATATACTGTTGTTGAACGTTAGTCAACATATGACTTTTGAGTTTTAGGACATTTATTCCAGTTGGTTGTATATTGACTAGAGGTTGTAGCAGTTCATTATGATGTGTTAAAAAAATACGATCTACAGCCTTTTATAAATACTTATTCCGTTGGTTTCAACAAAAAAGGTTGATTTTATGATAAGAAAGTAAATGTGCTTACATTCTATCAACAGCTTTCACAACCAATGTATTCTAGAAGAAATGTTAATCATCTAATTAACTTGTAAAGTTTTCTAGTCAGTAATGCGTAAACACTAGACATTGTTTTTATCAAGACGTTCAGCACCATTAGTTCTTATACTGATATTCCTTCCCCGTTTTTTTTAAGCTCTTCAAGATGCACATGAGAAAGAGGTATGACTTTGTTCTCAAAGTTGGTATACATGAAATTCGTAGTGTTAGATGTTGCTACTTCGAAAATAAGTAATCATAGAGAATAGGACCATAAACCATTGAGTGATGACCAAGTGGTCTAAAGAGTATGGGCTCACTATAGCACTTAAAGATTCCGGGTCCGACCATTTGTGGAGTACTGGATACCGACTGCTAAAGAGTTTCGTACTCTATAAAAACGGTTATCCAATGCTTCCTGTTTTTCAATAGTTGCCCAACTAAGATCAGTACACACAATAGTAATATCAAGGCGTTTGTACAGGACCATGATAACTTCCAACTAGTAACTTACCAAGTGTTAGATAAGAGTCACAATAAATATTAGTCAGAGAATAAATGGTTATAGTAGCTTTGCAACGTGATTGTTAATAAACAGACTTTCTGAAAATGCACAAAAGTTTACATGAAATGTTTATGATTTCACGTACAAGCAAGGCCTGTCAACTAGTTCATCAAATGGATTAACACTAGTTTCATTGGTATAAGGACTTAATTTTTAAATATTTGGGCTACATATTTCAATATTATCCTTGCCTTCTTCGATTTGCGCAATATCTTCTACTTTGACACAATAACTGTGGTTTAGAATTAATGAAACAAAACAGCACAATTATTCATCTGTAAAAGATTTACGCTTCAATATGAATGGATTAAGCTACAGTATTTGCCTGAATAATTTCTCATAAATTATGATGATGTACATGAACACCACTAAAATGACAGTTTTGGTTCTATCATATTAAACAAACTTAAATACAAGGTCGTGAATCAAACATTAATTATATCAACGGTCGGGAAATGCAATATTCAATTAGGATAAATGAATACAGGACTTTTAGGTTTGTATAATTTTAAATTCTTCAAATTTCACACGCACATTTGAATCCTATGTGGTGCCTTTAGAAATCATATTCTTAGTGGTTAGTTCACAAGTATACCTAAAGTGTCTTTATAAAAACTCATGGATTTAACACTATATCACCGCCGGATAGAGCTGCATCGGTTACTTCCGTTTGACTTTGTGGAAATACAAAGTACTCCTATTGTATTCAGTTCCCTAAATATTGTAGATTAATTAATACGTAACATGATTTGAGTGAAAATCTGTTTTTAAACAGCTGTAGAGAAAGTAAATCATACAATTCTGTTTCATACACATATTTCTTGATATATTTACATTAAGTAAAGTTTCAATATAAACTTCATCATCAGTGTATAAATGAATAGTAATACGAAAACCGACGAAAAACTCACGAAAAGAAATAATACAGGAATTTAAAACAATCATTCAGTATCACAAGTATAACAGTAAGCGTCATAAAATAAACAATATGAGAAACAGTGATGAAGGAATGTAATTTAATGCTTTCCTTAAACTGGTGATACAAGAAAAAGAGTATGCAAAATTGATGGAAAGGGTTAAAGTCAGTTTCGGAATTAAATAATACAACAAATTATCACATATTTACAAAAAATGATGTTGAAACAACATGGAAATTTCCTAGACATCCAAGTTAAAAGTGAAGAACTATTAACAACACCTTAATTCAAGTTATCCCATATTGATGCTACTAATACCAAGTTGGTTTAGTAGTATATGAAACATTTAAAAATTTGGTCATAACGAAGTATGAAAGACGAATGACTTAACAAAACAACTTTTTATCACATATGTATTCATGTTAAATAATGATTTAGAGCAAGACTGTAAAGATGGCGGTCGTCTCATAAGTGGTCAGAATAATCTGTGGTGAATTATCGAAATTTGGTAACAATCAGTAGAACACCGAATATAACGACCAATCCAGCCAATACAAGAATAATAATCATCTTACGATCCTTCGATTGGTGACTTTGTGCTTTCGTTAAATGCTTCAAACCCTCTTCAACTCGAATTTGAGTATGTTCCACATTATAATCGATACGATCCACTAATGTCCCCTAGAAAAATGTATCATATCATCCAAATACATTGAGTGTAACATTTTATGACACAGCTTACGCTTGATATAATACAAATTTAAGGACTGTTGTCAAAATATCTAATTCATTGATTAACTGCAAACAGTTCACGAAAGTCTCGTCATACTTGTGACACGTCAGCTGGATGTACTTGGACCCCAGTTTTTGTTTTTTTTTCTCCTCCAATGATTAAAGTGACATATGTCGTTGCATTTAATGAACGCTCATTTTTATACGGGATCTATGAGAACTTACTACTCTAGCCTTCTAGTGTTTAATAATATGAAGTGATAAGTTGTAACGTTTGTGCAATAATATCGCTTTACGGTAATTAGGATTAATAACTATTTTATGACAACATTTGGTTCGTCCGGAACTTCTTTTCTGTAAAACTACAATTTACGGACGAACCAATCATATTGAAAATGGTAGATCTTGAGTTTTTTAGCAAAGTTTGAAACCCGATGACGAATAGTTTGTGCCTTGTTGAGAGCTAAGTAAAACTTTTTTATATTTCCTTCTCAAGATGCTAGAAATTAATAAACAAATCTATATAATTAGCAGGAAGGAATTGGAATTATCCCTTCGTTGATAAGTTTATATGGACTTCAACCAGTCTTGAATTCTTGTACTAGCTACAACCAAACTATGTGATAAACATATTTGCTGTGCAACAAGATGGTGGGCATGACATGATACAGAAATTATAAGATGCACCTGCCCTTGATGCGGATTGTGTCAGTAATGCTAATCGCTAGTTGAAGGTACTTGATGTGACCTAGGGGATAACTAAGAGCGTTTATGAGGTCCCTCATGAAATACGACCTAACCACTAGGGAAGATTTTTTGCAAAGGATACTGTCTATACGAATGGTTAGAAAGCGCAAAGGTTATCATTATTGGGTTACCGTTGGGATCGAAACCCTTCTCTTACATCTTGTAGGAAACACGTACAGTCTTGTAAGGTTTTTATAACCCGAGTCGAATCATTCACCGGAAACCATTACAAGGCGTGCAATAACTAATCTTGGAATACTAAAAAAATTTTAAAGTTTCTGAAACCGAGAAACATTTTAAGCACATTAGATTATTTAATTTATGAAAGACAATTAAGACATGTCATATGTACAATATATTTTTTAAAAGGCTTTGGTTAGTTTACATTGGTTCTTAATATTTTTAGTAAGTTAAATAGTTTAGAAACAAACTTTAACATCAGGCAGAAAATTAACTGTCAATGAATAAGCATAACACAATACAATTTCGAGAGAAAAAGTTCATACTTCTTCTGATACAATATCATCATATTTATAACAAACTCTCTGTTTTACCAATTCTCCAAGATCGTATTGTATTTATGATGTTTTCAAATACATAGAAGAGCAAGACAGACATTTGTATCGCGAGTGAATTTCATTTAATCTAACTATATTACTTACAAGTAGTCCTTTTTTAATACCCAATTTTCTTGCTTGGACCTTATTGATTGACACAGTAGCTAATCTTTTGATCATATTGAACCGGTTTGTTTTTTCGCTAGCCACACTTAACAATATTCGTATTTACCATACTGAATATAACCTGAAAATATTTTTGCTGGACATATTTATATATTCTTCGAAAACAAGACAGATATCATCCAATCGTTAATGAGCTAATTATGATGAAAACAACACCATGATCACGTGGAAGATTGTAAGGCGCTAAATATCATTCTTCCTTAGAAGTTTCTATACATGGTGTTACATCTTATGGTCTGTTTTGCTATAGAACACTGTTTACAACTTCTGTTTGGTTGCTTTTAGGCATTTTGTTCCCATTTTCTTAAAACAACGATCATGAAAACCTTACTAATGTAAATTTAGTCTACGTGTTTTGAACCACATAGTAAGTTGATCCGAAAATGTTTAAAGTACTTACTTGATCCACAACCATTTGTGCAACATCGCGAAAAATTTCGTTCAATTCATGAATAGACTGAACAATCTGGTGAATTTCTTGTTCACGTTGTACAACCATATTTGTATTTTCTGTAAGTAATAAACTCCGTCTTTGTTTTTGTGATTCCCAAACCTACATTCATATTGTAACAAGTAAAAATTTCGGTAAGCGAAAAAATCACAGTGGACTGGATAGCACAGCATCATGTATGATGATCTACAAGTTAGATAACTAATATTCATACCCAAACATAAATAATTGGTTGATATATGATCATTTTTTAGAGTGATAAAACGAGCTGTAGAGGCATCTAGTTTGGTTGAATATTCTGGCCAAGGTATTAAGTAAATCTTCCAACTACTGATTCAAATTACCTTATGAACAGTCTAGAGTCTTCTATACGATCTTTTTCGACTACACAGGAATATTTCATATCGTATGTCTTACCCTATACAAGTTAACGACAAGCTTTGAATATTTCAGTTGATAGTAATTTTCACTTCCAATTAATTTACATTTTCGCTTTAGCTATGTGTATTTCTTGCAAGCAATTTTATGTGTCACTAGAGTTAGAAATGGTGTAAAGTCGACAAATATTAAACATTCCTATACATTTATAATGTTTTTATGGGGAAAAACACCAATCAGGTAGTCTGACCTCTCAATAAAAATTATGAAATCCAACAGAATTACATTTACAGTAGCAATTAGTGTTAAAAATGAATTTTATCAGAAAAAAGATGTACCGACTTACAGCATAATCACCATCATCAAACTCATTTACCACGTTGTTTGATGGTGATGATGATGTATCTCCTATATTTAAATCTATATTTAAGTAACTACGTATTCGTTCATCTCTGGATCGAAGTTCTGGAAATAAAACAATTGCACCACAATTGTACCACTTTTCAAACTTAAAAAAATTATCAAATTTCAATTGTCTGTAAGTCTAATAAACTATTGTATACACTGTATAAACTGAAAACTATTTACCAATAAAATGTTGAAAAAGGCTTACTCCATTGCTTAGTGTTGGCTTTTAAACTACTTATTTATGCTTTGGTAACGTAAAAACCAAGAAGCGATGACCTAATGGTTAGGGTTTCATCAGTAAGTTTATGCTTTGAACTCCGCTCCATCTGTTTTGATTTGAGCTCCCTGGTAGTATTTTTATTTATTTAGTTAGTTCACATATAGTCTTATACTATTTGGCGCCAATGATAGTCTGCACACAAACTGTATGGTTCAAAACCGAATAAACAAGCTTTGACTTGGAAAATCACTTATATTATCATTTTTATTAGTCACAGTAAAGAATAAATACGTAAACACAAAAGATTAAAGTGATCATTCCGTCATTTGAGGATCATATTAAGCGTGGTGATTTTACACTAGTAGCCTAATAGATTATTACTCACATTTAAACTGAGGGATATAAAAGTTGTCGCGTTTAACTATTATATCCCTTGGTAGAAGTTAGTCTTACCATTTTATAACCGTATAAGATAATTTTGTTGTTATTAGGTAGAAACCTTAACAAATTATCACAGTTTATTTAATCACTTACTATCTATAATAATCAGTCAAAGCGTTTAGTTTATGAGCATATACCTAACGCCTACTTGAACGAGTCAAACGCGAATGCAAGTTGAAAAAAATAGCTTCATAGTTGTAGCGAATGTGAACGAGCCGAACTTAGTTGTGTGTAAGCAGATGTTCATGTAAAAAGACAACAACGTATAAACATTATTTTTATGATAGTTAGATTCGAAATAGATTATATCATCCCGTTGTTGATATTTTTGACTGGAATTTAGTCTTGGTTGATGTATGTGCATCTTAGGCGCATTGTTTTGATATAGCCATTGTGATACAGGTTAGTATGCAAAAGATGGAATGTGACTAGCAGTGGGATCCAAGGACGCAGGTACACCCATCTGACGAGTCCCAAGTTGGACGAAACGCACATCCTGGATCACATTTTATCTGTTCTATTTATATAATAGCTCAGTGGTCCGATGAATTCTAATATGAATTTCACAGAGAAAACTAACATGCAACAGACATGTGAAAACGAAAATTATTAAACCTGGTCTAGTGGGGTAACGTATAATCCATGCATAACAGAAACAACAAGTAATTTAGTAGTAATACGGAAAACAGTGTGTAAATTCTATGAATTATCTGTTCAGATTCGCCTTACAAGACGGTGTCATCATCTCAGTGTGTAATGTTTGTCATAAGATTTTAGTAGTGCTGAAAAGGAAAAATATTAGGTATTGGTGTTTGCATATAAACAACAAAGACTGGTAATGGCAAGCACCTATAAAAAATTTAATCTGTTTTTCTTCGGGTAATGGTACATGTTATTACTGAATAGTTAACAGAGTTGAATGATAACCAGCATCGATATCACTCACACTAAAACACTTGCAAACTGACTTAGAAACGCTTTAATGATAATTATATTATTGCACTTATATTGGTTACTAGATAGTGATCAATTAGCATATACATTTCAGTTCTACAAGTCAGTTGCTTTCCGAATGGGTCGATGGCAACACCACTGGTTGTGACATAATTTCGGATAATACTCTGGACATCAGCTCTAACATTTCAGATATCCCAAACTAACGATAATCAGTCAGTATGAGACCTATATCTGAAACTTTCTGCAGAACGCTAACATTATAACACGCTATTTACAAAACAGGGAGGTACACAACATATTTACACATAATTTCTCTTGAATTTAAATGAAAATTCCACTCTTAGAAAACTGAAACTATGTTTTCCAGACAAATGACTGAAAAAACACTAATTACTATTTAGGTATTCTGATTGAGCCTTTCGAAATATCACTGACAGATCTTGGAGAGTTCGCGCCAGATTGCAAACAATGTTTTCTGCCAACTTGGCTTCTTGCGACTGTTGCCATATAGCTGAGGAACGTTTCAATTTTGATAACTGGCCAAGTTGGCTATGCGATAGATTAAACAACTGTTAAAATAAAGAATAGAATGCTGAAGTTAGGTAAAGCAACGGAAACACCAAACAAATTATATTTCTACCAACAGTACAGCTTTAGAGCCGTATTAATTGAATAACTTCTTGCACGGAGTCAGTCAAACGCAACGTATAAACTTGGCACATGTGTACATCCGCTTAAGGTGCTACATCCCATTAACACGGAGAGTTGATATTGTTAGGGAAAGTCGCAGAATAGTAGAGAGAGCAACAGAAGACTATCCATCGAAGATTCAAAAAGAGAATAAGGATCAATAGCCTCATTACAACCAACTGTCATACCAGACATCACCGTCCTTCGAGGTAGTTAGTGAGTGGGCATACGTAATATATGTCCTAACCACCTCACTCGATGATGATTCAACACGTCGTCAATTGATCTACCATCCCTACCTAGTACTGTGTCTAACCTCAGAATTCATGTCAAGATTTAAAAGGTGGAAGATGAATGGAACTATTCCGCCGCGACCGTACAACTAGGTTGGGGTAACAACTAGAACCGATTTATTTAAAGAGGTAGTCAGTTAACTATACATATATAAATAAACTGTGAATCACCTACTATGCAAACGACCAATGAATTTTGCTATTCCGCTCAAGGAATGAGACAGACCCTTCACGATGCAGAAAATCAACATAAATCGGGAATAAATTATATTACTGTAATGAAAAAAACGACTATTAAAAGTATTTCTCATGAGACCAAAATCCCAACGTGGTAATTGTACTGTTGCGTCGTGCTCGTACGGCGAGGTATCTAATTCTGTAGCGTCGTGCTCGTACGGCGAGGTATCTAATTCTGTAGCGTCGTGCTCGTACGGCAAGGTATCCAATTATGTTGTCGGCGTAAATCTGATTTCGTCTATACTCGTATATAATAAATGACTTTACCTGAGTTAGTGAATAACGGAGTTAAATACGTCAAATACGAGAATGGATTTAGAATACATATATTTTCTACACTCATTGATCTGGCCATGGAATCAGAGCGATGAAGCGAACAGAAGCGAGAGTGACATGCAGTGGGAGATGGCTGGGAAGCCAACTCGATTTAAGCAAGCGTTAATCAACATTTATAGTCAGACAAAAATGAGTGACAGACATATGATGAATAAGATACGAAGTGTACACATATATGCTCATATAAAAGTATAGTCAATGTTAATAAGCAAATGGTTAACAAGATCAAAATATGACTCATAATGGATAGGCGAATTGACTTGGCCAGCAACTAGAATAAAGTATATGGGCTTAACATAGAAACTGATACTACAGTACTATATGAAGACATATATGGATGAAAACTGATCATAATGCGAAAAAAATTAATTACCAAATACCTGAGTAAGTTCTTTAGTTTGAAACTCTATTTCCTGATCTTCATTTAAATTATCATCCAAATTCGAAGCCATGAGATGTCTATCATGAAGAGCAATAACTTCTTTCACTAAGAAAATTCATAAAATTTGAGATGTATTCCCTTACTTTTTTGTCGTATCGTGCTGAACGTATATTGAAGTGAATTTACTGCGGTTTGCCTATAAGTACATTTATCATAGAAAAACTGCAGACAAACCATTCATTACGTAACTTTTTGGTGGAGTTATTGTCAGGAGCTTTATGTTTAGATTTGGATACCAATGATTCTTGATCAGATTTCTAAGGAATACAAAAGATTAAAAATGATGTTATGACTTAATGAAAGCCAGAAAGAAGAAGTAGTCAGAGTGTTGATTGAAGTTACCAAAAACTTTTAAGAATATTAGTGACCCAAAAGAGACATCCAGGAAAGCCCATTCTAAAGTGACATGAGGTCATAATTGCTATAAGTTGCGTAGGCCACTAGTCAAACCGAATGTCACAAAATCACCGGCAATCCTACACAATCCTTGATGGTTAATACAAGGTACCAAGATGAGATTATTTAACAAAATGAAACCAAAACATTCCCTGAAAAGCAACCAAATGGTGAAGAATGTTTTAACATTTTATAAAATTTCTGGTTGCAAATTCTTATTCAACCATAAAACTTGGAAATTGTGAAGTAACGTTCCAGTGAATCAATCGCTACGAAGTCGTAGTTGAGGCCGTAAATTTAGGAAATAAGATTGCAGGTTTAGCCACCGCAACACATGATTTGGTTTCGACAAACGGATAATAACACTGACCACCCTAAATGCAAGGTTCGGAGTTAAGTACATACACTTGTTTTGTTGGCGTTAATTATATTAAAGCTAATTCTATACCACATAATACATAGTTCGAAGTACTCTATTATCTTATTTGCCCCAGTTACGCCAGGAACACTCGCTTAATTTCCAGAAGCATACTCCTTTTAGTATAAAACCGTAAACAGTGTTAACGCAATTTTGTGACTTTTGAATCCGAGTGTAGTGAAGAAACGACCCATAAACATGGATCAGTTACAAACATGCAGTTTCTATCATATTTCAGTAATCATATCACTGACTCAACTAATATCTTTGTTGCGAGCTTGTACAAACTAATTGGATAATCAAAGTGATCCAAAAAATTTGGGATATAGACTTACATCGTCACGATAGAAACTTCTGTTTTGGAATGCATTATTTCTCATAAACGTGAAGCTTTCTGTCAGTGACCTAAACGCCATCACGTGTTTATATCGAGCGGCGTTTTTCAAGGCTACACCCAACATCCACAGATCCATCATGTAGCATTAAATAAATCCCCAAAATCAATAGCTCTGTAAATGTTCGACATTGGGTGCTGATCACATTAGTTTTGGTGGACTCACGTAGCTGTAGGCGCTCGATCATGCGTCCTCACTAGATCACGAGAGGGAACGTCCTGCTCAACTTCTGTGACCACTAGCCAGTTTAGACCAGTCACTCCTCGATATACTGATAAACTATCAAATGTATCTTCGAACCTCCTCACTTCTGACTTTTGACTACAGTGGGTGGCGCGAGTCAATTATGCGTGTTGCTGGTATAACGTTGTCACACTAAAATACCTGCGGCCTCTTTATTGTTAAGCCCGACATGAACTGGTGCACCAACCTATAAACTGTGGGTATGTCCCTTTTTATAACTCCATAAGTCATTGCTTTATTTCAGCCTGTGTTTAGTATGATGTTTTTTTGAGTTTTCGGATATTTTTTGCCTCGTTCATTCTCGTACTTGATATTTCACCATGACGGAACAGACACCCAAGGTACCTAAGTGAAAGATTGTGTCCCTACCTTCGTTTCAACTAATGCCCTTCTGGCCAGACAATATGGAAGCCTGGTTCTGCTACGCAGAAGCCCACTTATACGGCATGACTGATCCTCGTGCATAATTCCTCGTGGTTGTAAAGGCACTACTGCGAGGATTCAACAGGTAATAAAGTAATCTGGATTCTATATCTTTGGTTTCTTAACTGTTCCTGAATTAGATTAATCTATGGGACCCTAGAAAATTCATTCTGAGTCTCTGGAGCAACTCAAAACTTGACCTTGATTTCCGTAAACATATGTCTAATTCGTCTGTAATCTAAAGTAGATTGACAAAGGACTTGTAGTGACCGGGCAGTCTCGATAAGAACACGATTGGAATAATAGAAACAATTATTATTATTGTAACCAACTGTACCAGAGATTGTTTTACTGTATTTGATTAACGGCATCAGTTTCACTTCTGCTTTCGCAATCCGCCTTGTTTGGTTCGAGCTTGCTCACGCACTGCTTATTCGTTTGTATTCTTTGGCACGTCTCGGTATTATTTCGATACCACGAGATCGCCAATAAATATACTTGATCTGGACTAGTAAAGCCTTCTGATTTACGGGCTATCAAGGGAACCAAGTCATATTTGTACGCGTAATCGAATAGTAGTGGTGATCATAGTCCGTCCACGACTCGACATCCACTACAACTGGTGAGCCTTATTTGGAACACTCAATACAGCTGGTAACCCAATCCATCGAGCACAAGTCAAACTTGGCCAATTCTCCAAACCAAATCAATCCGGTGAGTCTATTTATCTATCCACATCTGTTGCGTATATTCGCATTGATATTTTTCAATATATAATATTTTGGCAACTTAGTATGGTAGATAACGATAAGAATAACATGAATATGATAGACTCCGAGATACAGGTTATCAGTTTTCGACCGGTTCCTTTCATCCCTCATGATCCAGAAGTCTGGTTCGCGGCACTGGAATCCCAATTTGAGATCCGCCGCATAACCAACCAGAGGCAAAAGTACGCCTACGCTCTGGAATCATTGCCCGGGGATCACCTAACCGCTGTCCGTGAGGTTGTCCTCAATCCGAACATTCCGAATGTTTATGACCGTCTTAAGGATGCCATCCTTCGACATTTCCTCCCATCAAGAGAGGAACGATTGAGGACACTTTTAGCACGTCACCCTATGGGTGATGCTAAGCCGAGCCACCACCTCACGCGCCTGCAATCCCTTGCAGGAAACATGACAGCTGACTCTGAGATAGTCAAAGAGTTGTGGCTCGAAGCCTTACCAGTCAGTATCCAGCCAACCCTTACGGCTCTGCTCGAAGACACCCCGCTCAACAAGGTGGCCTTCATAGCAGATAAGATTGTAGCACGAGTTAACACCAAAGACGACTATTTGGTTGCTAGTACTTCCCGTTCTAACGTTGATCTCGATGCTAGACGACCTCCGGCTCATGGGGATAGGGACAGATGTATCCATACTCGTCTCAGTTTCCGAGACCGCGCAAATGTGCCAGCCCCCTACGTCCCCCGACCCAGGTCACAATCTCGAAAAGCCGTAACGACTCGCCCCAAGCGGGCATCTTCCAAGCCACACCAAAAGGCGGTTTCGGAAGCGAGTCCAGGTTGGTGCTGGTTTCACCGTGCTTTCGGGGCCGGTGCCCGTCATTGTCGAGCTCCCTGCTCATACAAGGCGGGAAACTCCTCAGCCGGCGAGTAAATGCGGCCGTACTCGCCGGCACTTTACCTCAGGTTGGCCGTTTATTTTAAGTGCACGATTATCGCACCAACGCTAGGTACCTTGTGGATACGGGTGCCCAAGTTTCTGTCGTACCTATCGGTAACACTAAGTCTCAAGCCACTATGCTTCGACTACGCGCTGCGAATGGCTCAGTCATTCCCACCTATGGTACACGACAACTTACGGTTAACCTGAGCAACCGACGACAGTATCTGTGGACGTTCATCATTGCCGATGTTCCCACAGCTATACTCGGTATCGATTTCCTACAGCACTATGAATTGCTAGTCGATTCACGTAGGCTGCAGCTAATTGATACTTCGTCGAACAGCAACTTTATGGGCTTTAAAGCCCACACAAACGCGTACCGAATCACAGGTGTATTTCATTAGCGTGACGATTTATTCCACGCTTTATTTCAGAAATTCCCCAAATTAACTAAACCTCTCGAGGAGACTCTATCGATGACCAATCGTGTAGTACACCACATAGTCACTCGCGGACCACCAGTCACGGCAAGACCTCGCCGATTGGCACCGGACAACTTAGCTTTCGCTAAACGTGAGTTTGACAATTTTCTAGCTACTGGTATTATTCGTCCTTCTCACAGTCCTTGGGCCTCACCTCTCCACATGGTTCGAAAAAAGGATGGAGTTAGTTAGAGACCATGTGGAGACTACCGAGCGTTAAACACAGCTACACGTTTCGATAGCTATCCCATCCCCCACATACATGACATCACGGCATCACTCAAGGGCACGACAATTTTTTCCAAGATCGATCTGGTACGAGCATATCACCAGATCCCAGTAGCTCTTGAAGATATAGAGAAAACTGCCATCACGACTCCTTTCGGTTTATTTGAGTTCCTACGAATGCCATTTGGATTACGGAATGCTGCTCAAACTTTCCAAAGGTTTATCGATAGCATCGTACGAGACCTAGATTTTGTTCACGTCTATATTGATGACCTGCTAATCGCATCATCAAACGTAGATGAACATTATCAACACCTGACGCTACTATTCCAGCGCCTTTCGGATAATGGAATAATAGTCAACCCCGACAAGTGTGAACTCAGGAAGAAGGAAATAAAATTCTTAGGTCATGTCATTAAGCATGAAGATATTTTACCTTGTGAGGATAAAGTACGTACTATAATGGAGTACACTGTACCGTCCACACTCAAGGAACTGAAGGCAATTCTCGGTTTGGTCAACTTCTACCGACGTTTCATTTCGCACGCGGCAGAACAGTTACGACCGTTAACCGATTTTTTTCGCGGTAATCCAGGCAAACTGGAATGGAACGACGCCGCACGTACTGCATTTTCAGATATCAAAACGGCCCTAGCTCAAGCCACACTTCTCGTGCATCCTGACCCATCAGCCACACTTAGTATAGCGGTTGATGCATCGGATTTCGCCATAGGAGCCGTTATGCAACAGAATATCTCCGGTAGTTGGCAGCCCCTCGAATTTTTCTCACGACGCCTCACTCCCACGGAGACGAGATATAGCGCTTTTGGTCGCGAACTGCTAGCAGCCTACTGCGCCATCAAACATTTCCGGCACGCTGTAGAAGGTCGTAATTTCATCTTATTCACCGACCATAAGCCCTTGACGTATGCTCTGCATACCAAGTCTGACCGCTACTCACCACGAGAGTGCAGACATTTGGACTATATCTCCCAGTTCACGACAGACCTTTGTCACGTCAAAGGCGAGTCGAACTGTGTTGCTGATGCTTTATCACGTATCCAACTTAATGCAATTACTTTGCCAGTGCTTGACCTACTTGCTATGGCCGCCGCCCAAGCAAACGATACTTCATGCACGGAAGCACAACAGTCTACGTCCCTTCAGTGTCGGGAAGTACCCCTAGCTACTAGCTCAGGTACTATCCTATGCGATACTTCCACGGGCCTCCCTCGACCCATCGTACCCTCCGCTTATCGCCGTCTCGTCTTTGATGCCCTTCATGGTTTATCTCATCCTGGTATCGCAGCCACATTACGCCTCATCGCTGCACGATACGTCTGGCCGTCCATGAATAAAGATGTCCGTATGTGGGTAAAACAATGTTTACAATGTCAACGATCAAAAGTGCACAGGCACGTAGCTGCCCCTATTGGCACTTTCGCTACGCCTGATGCTCGCTTCGATCACGTTCACATAGACATTGTAGGACCATTACCACCATCGCACGGGTATGGTCACATACTCACGTGCATTGATCGTTTCACAAGATGGCCCGAAGCTATTCCCACCACGTCTATTACGGCGGAGACAGTCGCTCACCGCTTCGTAGAACGATGGATAGCTATGTACGGTTGTCCCTCGACTGTCACGACTGACCGAGGACAACAATTTGAGTCCGCATTATTCTCCTCACTAACACGGCTGCTTGGTACGGAACGCATACGCACTACCGCCTACCATCCAGCATCAAACAGTTTAGTCGAACGGTTTCATCGCCAACTTAAAAGTGCTCTTCGAGCACACGAAAACAACAATTGGTACGAAACCCTGCCGCTCGTCCTCCTGGGAATCAGAACGAGTCTAAAGGCAGATATTCAATGTTCCGCCGCTGAACTTGTTTACGGCACGACATTGCGTCTGCCTGGGGAATTTTTCACACCACGGAGCAGCACTAAGTTCGGTGAATCAGACTACGTCCAACGACCGTCTGCATTCATGCGAACACTGA